ATTTACCAGAGCTACAAAGAAAGTTAAAACCTACCATATTAGGCCTTATTTGTGACATTCTACACAAATGTGTCTATACGTGTGTGTGTCTGCATTTTTCTAAAAAGTAAACGCAAGTATGCTGATTCTTAATCAGCCACCTAACTGGTATCTGGCTTCCATCCTTGCCCCTTTAGAATCTATCCTTTCCCTAACAGTCAGGTCATCTTTTAAAGTCCTATCAGGTTGTCTTCTGCTCAGAGCCTTCCAGAGGCTTTCTAACCAACTTCGAATGACCACATCCGGCAAGGCCTTCCATAATCAGGCTCTGCGGATCTCTCTGACCTCATCTGCTATTCTCTCCTTGCTCATACCACCCACCATGCCCTCTTTATTACCCCTTGAATATGTCAAGCACCGTCTCACCCCAGTCTCTGCACTTGATTTTCCTTCTGCCTGCACAAGTCTTATTCCCCAGGCTGATGCCTTTACTTCCTTCAGGTCTCTGCTCAAATGTCAACAGAAACCTTCCACAACCACTCTCTATATAAAAGAACACTCATGGCCTTTTGTGATTCTTCGTTCCCTTTAACCTGCCTAACTTTTACTTCATGGCTCTTATAACCATCTATTACATATTCATTTACTTAAAAAATTATCTGTCTCTGCTTTCTCTGCTCACCACTCCAGAATATAAGTTCAATGAGAACAAAAGTTTTCTTTTGTTTTGCTCATAGCTATATCCCCATTGCTGTTCTAGAATAGTATCTAGAACACAGTAAATGTTCAAATGTTTCTGCCCTTCTAATAATCATGTTATTACAGAAAGGTAGATATTATGTCTTGTTCTGAAAATTTTCAGATATATCCACAAGTTGGATAAATGGGTCTATATTCAATGAAGTAAGTTTTAAAAGAGGAAAGTATGCCAACTCAGTAATTAATTAGCTTTGCAGTATGCAGTGGTAAACTGCAAACTATGGTGAAACTTTCAGTAAATTAAAGGTGACATCTCTCTGTCTCTTCAGTTTTTTAACTAAATTTAGTAACTAGTTATGGCTTTTTTCCCCTTCGTTCAGAAATATCCTGAAATTTTTGTCAAAAGGTTATGTTTAAGTATATGTTTAAGTATACACTTGTCTATACTGATAATTGTAAAAAGTAATTATTCTGAGTTAATTGAAATTCTGAAAATGGCTAATTATGTGTTGACTGATTAAAAGAAGAGTGGCTATGCATATATTTGCCTTTGTTAAATACTGATTTAAGGATTCCTAATGTGTTTTGACAACACATAATTTTGAGAGCAACTGTACAGCAGAAAACATTTGGTGTCATAATAATTCATCTGATTTCTTTACAAACATAGAGCTCAAGTCCACTGGTAAACATTTAAACAATGTAGAGTAAACACATTCTAGATGTCATGTAATTTATTAAGGGCTCCAGATTATAGCTATTTAAGTAAAAGAAATCTAGACTACTTTTTACTTGTAATACCTAACTACCACATTAAGGTACTGACAGTAGTGTAATGACTTCACACACTTATTTCAACATTAAAAGGTACCAAGAAGAATATATATATAGCTTAAAAAATATTAACTGAACCATCAAAAGGAGTATAAATCATAGGAGAAAAAGATCTCCATTTACTCAACAAATACCTAATGAGGACCTACTGTGTAGGTATAAAGTGCAGAATTCCATTTTCTATCCACCTGAGTTACTACTAAAAGTAATTCTAGATTGGTTCCTGCACTACCCCTTATTAAGGCCTTGTGCTTTAGACAAACACTAAGTTTCTCTGTTCTTCAGCCTTCTTTTGTCTCAAACATGAGGATAATATCGCCTTTATACAGTATTCAGAGAGCTGGCACTGTATCACTTCTGGTCTCCACAGTATATCTGACAATCATATACTAACTTACATTACCTCTTTTACTAAAGCTTTAAACTATTATTTAAATATTTTATTTAACCTTTTGTGAATTCCTATCCAGGTAAGCTCCTTCAAAGGAGAAATTTTGGTGTATTTTTCAGAATCCTCTGTTATCACACAGCATTATTGCTATAGGTTAAATATTTGAGGAGGGAGGTAGGAAGACTGAGCTTGTAAAAGTATACATTTTCTACTTTTATATGACAAATTAACCAAAATGGGGGAAAGTGATGCAACAGCACGTGTTTTAAATTAAACTAATAAAAAGCCAACAAATTTTTTTTAGCTTGATCTAGCAGTTAAAAGTGGGAGTATCAAAACAAGCTTCTAACCAATTCCTCTCATTTGCTGAATACCTACTGTATGATAGGGCTGTGTAGGGACTTTGCACATGTGATCGACAGTCCTTACAACCATCCTGGACACAACAGAATGAGATCTTACTCTCAGAAAAAACATATGTATAATTAGTATTAAGAATTCTTTTGCAAAGGGAGCTAGTAATTTATAAGGTCTTTTTTTTAAAAGATAAATTTGAACAAGCTTGTTTATAACTAACTGTTTTACCTAATAACCAGTGAGCCAGATTAAAAAAAAGAAACCACAGAAATCAGTATAAGAAGGAAATCAGGAAAAATGGGTGATATTACAAGAGGGGAAAAATACTACTCAAAAAACCCCCAACTATAAATAAACAGTCCAAAGGAATTCAGACCAATTATTAGAAATAACAAGAGTTTAAAGATACTTGGCCATAAGATCTATACATGAAAATTAACTATATTTCTATATACACCAGCAAAAGTTAGAAAGCATAATTTAAAAGACATTTAACATTTCCCCCAAACATACACACACACCCATCCACCCAACCTGAAATTGTAAAGTACTTAAGAACAGATTAATGAAATAGATAAAGTAAATGTAAGCCCTGAATTCCAGTCATCTGTTGCTGTATAACAAATTCCTCCAAAACTTAAGAGCCTAAAGCCACCATTTGATTTTGCTAATGATTTTATAGACCAGAAATTCAGGAAGTCCTCAGCTGAGCAGTTTTCACTCATAAGGTTGAGTCAGACGTCGGCTGAAGCTACGGTGTGCTGAAGGCTCAACTGCACTGGACATCCAAGATGGCTCTCATGTGGCTGGCACTTGAGGCTGGAAGCTACTATGAGCTCAGCTGTGGCTATCTCCCACATGGGGGTCTCCGGATACTTGGACATTTCACATGATGGCTAAGTTCCCCCAGAGCAAGCAACCCGAAAGGACCTGTGGAAGCTCTCTGGCCTTTTCTGACCTGGCCTCAGAAGTCAAGCAGCATTACTTCTGCCTCACCCCAGATTCAAGGGAAGTGAAATCAGATTCCACCTGTTGGTGGAGGAGCAGGAAAGTCATACTATAGAAGACCAGGCAGGATGGAAGATATTTTGCAGCTATCTTTATAAAGTATAATCTACCACAATCTGTATTCAGGAAACTATATACATTATACATAAATATTAAAGAAGACATAAACAAGTATAAAAACATCCCATATTTATAGTTAGGAAAACCAGACATTGTAAATATGTCAGTTTTTTCTAAATAGATGAATAAATCCAATGCAATTTCCAAATTCCTGAAAAGATTGTGTGTGGACTCTGAAAAGCAGATTCTGAATTTTATATAGGAGACTAAAGAGCCAAGTATAGGCAAAACACTCCTGAAAAGGAAGAGTAAGGTGGAAGTGTTTTTCTGTCAGCAAGCCTTATGATAAGACTGTCTTAATTAAGATAGTATAGTACTTGATGGAGGAAAAGAAAATTGACCAGTGGAATGGAACAGAAATACCAGAAACAGACCCATGCATATATGGAATTAGCACTGTAGAAATCAGTTAATAGTGAGAGACAACTGGTTTTCCAAATGAAATAAAATAAAATTTTATTACTATTTACCTCATACCATCAATTCCAGATGGATAAAAGACTTAAATGTTAAAAGCAAAACATTTAAAACATTCAATAGAAAATACAGGGAAATAACTTCTTGATCTTAAGACACAAAGCATTCCTTGAACAATACACCAAAAGCATGAACCATAAGAGAAAAAATTGATAAATTAGGCTGCATTTAAATTAATAACTCTTTTTAAATAAAGACACTATAATGAAAATGAAAAGATAGTTCTTACTAGATAAATCTAATAACAATAAATCTAGAAAATCTATACCTGTTCATTAAATTGTCCAAAAATAAGTTTGACACAAACCAGCAAAGAACAAACTATACACAAAATTCAGGGCAGATATGAATAAAACAAAGCAAATACCTACATCTAACAGCAGTTTCAATCGTACTATTTTAATGTACACATAAATCTTTTGTGCCAGATGGAGGCCAATAATGTAAATACATATATATTTTTTAAATCAGTAAACAAACACTTTGACCATACCATTATCTCAAGAAAATCATAAGTGATTCTTGGTGACATATTAAACAGTGAAGATGTGATTTTTAAAAAATTAATTTAAAATAACTAAAGTGTATTTATTAAAAAGCCAGTAACTAGCAATGACTATTTACAACAGTATATTAATCCAACAATATTACAGAGAGAAGATCAAAATCTTCAAATTATAAGGACAACAACATAATATCTGCAAGGCACATGAACAGGCAATTTACAAAAGAAATATTACTATCCAAGGTGCATATGAAAAAACCCTTTCACCCTTCAAAGCAATAAAAGAAAAAAAATCCAGATTAAAACAAAAAAGCAGCATTATTTTAATACTTAATTAGGAAAAATTAGAGAAATAGGTAATACTAACGTTGATAAAGTTTTTGGAAAATGCCATGATTGTGAGAGTATAAGTTGATATATCATTTCTAGAGGAAATTTTGGTAATATGAATCAAAATCTTGAAAATATCTATAACATTTGATTTGGTAATTCCAGCTAAAAATGGACCCTTAAGGAAATAGTTACAAATATGCATAAAAAGATTCAACTACAAAGGCATTTAGTTTAGCAAAAGTTTGTTAAGGCTGTCTTTTTCATACTGGTTTACTAGAAACACTATTATAGCCTTACCTGAACTGTACGTCCTGCATTGATATGCTCTTCGTGCAACTTGTCCCAGATTCTGCATCTCTGATACTACACAAAAAAGAGGGGAAAGGTATTGAATATTTTTTTATCACTAATGTGATTATTTCTAGTTACCACAAAAATCCCCACTCACCTACCAAAACTTAACACACCAGCTAAAAATATTATTGACTTAGTCGTGGCAGTTAGCTGTCCAAAGACCATACAAGTAAGAAATTCTCAAAAATATTACATAAAAAATTCTGGCAAATGGTAAAACAAACAAAAATCACTAGATACTGTTTATTTTACTGAATGAGAGTATAAACTTTGCTTATATTGCAAACTCTTTGGAGGTAAAAAAAATGACTGAGAATGTGAAAAGTAAAGATTAATAGCATTCATCAGATATTCTTACTATATACAAAGAATTTAAAATTCTGTCAATGATAGTGTCAAGTATTGTAAACTAAAATCTGATTTTGAGAAAGAGTAAAATTGATACTGCTGATAGAAAGTATGTAACAATGAGAATAAACATTTAATACATATGTTTCAGTTTTTACTAAGGCAATGTTTAGCTTTCAAAGTTTCATCTAAGAAACTAGACAATCATGATAATGGAAAATGTTTCATGTGACAGAAACCATAGCAAACATGATGACATCACAGCAGAACACTATACAGAATAGAAATATCACCAAACATCACATATTATTTTTGGTTAAAATAAAAAGTACAAATAATTAAGATGTTAGCAGATGTGGATAATGACAAACACATTTTCAGTATACTACACATCAATAAAATAAATCAACCTACAAATACTTTGAAAGGACAGAAACATGAAAATGCCCCATACATGGACAGAAGCCATAATAGGTTATAAAAGTAGAGCTATTCTGCATATTCTTTAAATTGGGTAGTGAATAATGCAGCAAAACAAACAAACAACCCTCTTTTGCACATCACAATAAAATTACTTAAAATAAGTGACCGAGAGAAAAATCTTAAAAGCAGCTAGAGGAAAGAAGAAACATACGCGTGCTTAAGTACAGAGGAACAAGGATAAGAATGACAAAAGCCTTCTCGTGAGAAACAATGCAAACCAGAAGACAGTGGAGCAACATCTTAAGAGTATTGAAAACAAATCTAAAACTCAACCTAGAATTCAGTACCAATAGAAAATATTTTTTAAAAGTGAAGGCAAAATGTTCTTTTTAAAACATAAAAAAGCCTACAGAATTCATCTCCAGCAGACCTGTAGTACAAGAAATGTTCAAGGAAGTCCTTCAGGCTGATGGAAAAATGATACCAGGTAGAAATCTGGTTCTACACAAAGGAATGAAAGGAGTACTGAAAATAGTAAATATAGATAAATACAAAATGTGTTTTTTCCCTTAGTTTTAAAATCTCTTAGAAAGATAACACTCAACAAAAATAACAACAATGTATTGTGGGGTTAATAATATACATAGAAGTAAAATACATGACGATAACACTACAAAGACCCCAAGAGAGAGGGAATGGAAATACATTGGTTTAAGGTTCTTATACATGAAGTGATACATAAGGTAGCGTGTGATAAAGTTAAAGATGAACTATAAAGCAAGCACTAAAAAACAAAAAAGAATAGGTATAATTAGTAAGCCAACAGTGAGAAAAAAATGGAATCATAAAAAATATTCAATTAATCCAAAAGAAGGGGTAGGGACAAAAGAAGAAAAATGGAACAAATTGACAAAAATAGCAAGATGGCAGATTCAAAGGCAACCATGTGACAAATGTCTATTCATTATAAAAACCCTCCGCAAACTGAAAGAAGTTAACATACTCAACGTGATAGAGGCATCTACAAAAACCCAAAGTCAACATCATCCTTAGCGGTGAAAGACCATGCATTTCCTAATTGTGGGAACAAGGTAAGAATTTCTGATCTCACCACACCTATTCAACATCACACTGGAGGCCCTGGCCAGTGTGATAAGGTGAGGGGTGTAGGGAGGAAGGGAGGGGAGAGAGAGAGAAAGACAGAGAGAATAAAACAGTTTGTCTTCATAGATAACATGATTATCTACATAGAAAATAGAGCCTAACAGAAAAGCTATGTAATATAAACAGACGGCACAATGATTGCAAGCCATAAACTGAGGATTACTCATGGAATGAAGATAAATAATATCTACCCCATAGTGTAGGTAAAAGTGATTCACCTCATAATGCCTACCAAATATCAAACATACAAACCCCAAAACAAACACAAAAGATAGAATCCCAGAAGTGTTGTAACTCTCCTAAAGCATTAGAAACTTATTAACCGACAGTGCCAATGCTGAGTACTCAGGTAGGCTAACTTGCTTGTGAAGGAACCCATTTTCAAGTATCAACCTTGCACTCAGGGACTTTTCATATCTTAATCCTCACAATAATCCTATGAGGAAGGTTTTAATTTTACCTTTACAGCTCTCAAAGTTCATGGGCATTTGCGGCTTTCTCCTGAATGGTCACATGGGTCAATATTAAATCTGTGAACTTTGAGGTCCATTTCAGTGCTGTGTGAAGATGGTGTATTTATATCTGACTGGGGATGGAATCAATCAGGGCATGTCCCACAATAAGTAACTAAATTGGGATTTGAACAAAAAACAATGTTTTAAAGGTGGGCAAATGGGGTGGATAGTGCTAACAGATGTAGGAAAGAGAGCAAAAGTATTTAACTCTGTATTTTTTTTTCATCTTCCTTCTTCACTGAGGAAAATGATCTTCGAAAGAGAACAGTCTACAATAAACATGATTAAGAGGAAAATGAAAACCAAGAAAGAGTAAGAACCTAGATACTTCAAACAAGTCTAAGACAACAGGCCCAGAGAAATTACATCAAGTGAACAAAAAGACCTTGCAAATGTGATCACAGGAATACTTTTGCTTATCTATGAGGAGCTGTGAAGAACTGGAAAGGCTCCTAGAGACCAGCAAATATTGACCCAATTTTCACAAAAGAAAGTATCTTTAAAACACTGCAGACTGTAAATCTTTGGGAAAAGTCTATACCAGGTTATATCAGAGAGATGGCTTGCGAGAACTTAGAGAAATGGTGACAGCATATCAGAGTGCTGTTTCTTTCCTGTCCAAACATTTGTTATCAATGCCTTGAAAACAAAGAATGCATAATTACCGAATTCGCAGATAACATAAACTAGAAGGCATAATAACATAGAGGAAAGATCACAATTCCACATGATAAGAAGAAATGTAACAATGATCAATGTAAAGCCTAACATTTAAAAGAAAAAGAACAATCGTACAAGAAATAGGTATGTTCTGGCCCGACAGCTAAAGTTCATATTAAAAAGTCCTATGGATTTTATTTAGTTGATTATAAAACAAATAAAAAAGCCAGCAAGATAAAGTGGCTTCTAAAACAACTGATGTAACCTTAGGCTATGAACATGAATATGTATATTCATTCATTCAACACATTTTTATTAGAAGCACACTATGTTTCAAGCATAAAATTAGAAGTTTAACACATTAACCAACATAGTAATCTCAAGAAAGTAACTTAACCACTCTGTGTCTGTTTCCCCACCTAAAAAAGGAAGACAATAATAAGGCAAAGGTAGAAGGATGTTGTGAAGATTAAATGATATGATATACAGAGGGTACCAAAAAAAAGTATACACATTTTAAGAAAGGAAAAAGCTGTATTAAAATTGTAAGACTCAATATATACCAATAACAAAAGATGAATACAAGTCATGTGTATACATTTTTTTGGCACCCACAGTATATAAAACCCCTAACATAGGACTCAAATAAAAACAATAGCTACTCCCTTTGCTATTGTTGGTTCATTTGTCCAGAAAACTATAGAAGAGATTAGTGTTTTGGGTAGAAGCTCAACTAAATAACCTTATCTCTTATAACAAAATTCTAAGGAAAATAAGGAATAAAATAGTTCAGACTTCTTCCTGCTTGCTACACAACGTTATAACTAAATTAGTTGACACTATTAAAAGCTATTATTCCAGGGCCAGCTGAGTGGCGCGATGGTTAAGAACTGACTTGGGACAACCAGAGGGCCCTGGTTCGGATCCCACATATGAGGGCCAGTGACACTGCCCTTCACAGCTAAGATGCTGAACAACAGCTCAACCTGGAGCTGGGCTGCTGTGAGTTGCCGGCGACGGCATGGGCTGCAGCCCCTGTGGCAGTGGGTTGCCATGGGCGTATGTAGCCAGCAGCCAGCGTGAGTGGCCAGCAGCCGCAGTGAGCGGCCGTCCAGAAGCCGGCAACTGATCTGCCTCGCCCAGGAAGAGCGCAATGATGGTGACTGCCAGCTTGGGCCAGTGAAGCAACGTCCTCCATAACTAGACTGAAGAACAAAACAACAGCAACTTGTCTGTTCCCCTTCCCCCAATTCCCCAGTGCTGTTCCCATCCTCCAATTCCCCAATAAAAATCTTAAAAAAAAAAGCTATTATTCCAAATCTTTGGAGAAGAGAAAAAACTTAGTGTGGTTTCATTTGTGTGAAAAAAATTACAAGAAGTAACTCCTTAAATTTTTAGTTAAGTTGGGGCCACAGACAAGCATTTCCAAACTGCACTGTTTTCACAAAAAGTCATTTTTGTATTGTCTATTTGCACAGTGGCACTACAGAGATAGTTTAAAACAGTGCTATAACTTGAAGCAACTAGGATGCTTTTTGGTAGCAGGTAACAGAAAACTCAAAATTTAAAAATGGCGTTAATAATAAGGACATTTATTATCTTACATGAGAAGGAGCCTAGAGAAGTAGGATAGTTTAGTTCAGAAGCTTAGAAGGTCGTCCAGCACCCAAATTCTTTCTGCTTTACTATCTGCAACAGCGGTTTTAGTCCTCAGACTTGTTGCCTGCTGCCTATAGTTCCGGATACAACCAGGAGACACAAGACAAGCAGAAGTAGAAGGACTGTTTCCTCCCATGTATATCTTTATAAAGTGGAAAAATCTTTTTCAGAAATGTCCGTATCTCAGACAGGCTTTTCCCTCAAGTCTCACTAGCCAGACCTATAGAATACACATATTGTTCACTGCTAACCAATGACAAGAATGAAATTACCCCCATTACTCCCTATATCAGTCACCACCTGTGCTTTCCTATCCTGAAACATCGGGGAAGGCATATTGAATCAGGGTTCTGCCAGAAAAAAAGGAAGAGGCGGGGAAATGTGGTTAAAGCTTGAAATAAACATTCTCAGACTAAAAAGAGAAGTGGAAAAGGTTTTTGTTGTAATCACAAGTTAAAAACCAAATAAAAACAAATCAATCAATAAAAAAATCAATGAGCCTGATTATGTTTGATTTTGTACCGTTCGGGCTTCACACTTCCTAAATAATCCATGCCACTCATTTTCACACCTAATTATATGTTACCTCTTATCATTCTCTAAATATTCCCTATCTTATTTGAACTGTAAACTTCTTTAGGATTAGAAGCCCATTTTTTACATCATTTTCAGTGCTAACAATACAAGAAACAATGACCACCAACACTTACGAAAAGCTAGTATATATTTATTTCCTGTGGTAAATAATTTCCCTCTTATGAAACCTGGCAGATAGAACACATTCATCTCTACTCTTTTCCAAAACCCCACTAAAATGACAGTACAGAACTTTCAAAGGTATAAATTCATAAGAAAAATGAGAATACAATAGAAGATATCAGTTGACAAGAAATTTTCACAAAAGTTTGGAAGCTGAAAAGATTATGGAGATGTTGCTACTGACTTAGCCGACCAGAGAAAGCTGAAACCTAAGGCTGCACTCCACCGGCCCAAATAATTGCACTGCCCTGATCACCACAGAAGACCACACTTTAGAAGAGCATCTGGTGGTTCCCCATTAAAATAGATCCTCACCTGTTCATTCTGCCAGGTAACAAGACCCCTACTAATACCCCGTAACTCATACACACACACACACACACACACACACACACACACACGCACACGCACACGCACACGCACACACACACAGCCCTCCCAATTAGCACTCTTAAATATCAACAGCTAACCATGGAAAGCCTGTAATTCTGTAGGCTACCACAAAAAAGGAAAAGGAAGAAAGGAAGGGAGAAAGGGAGAGAGGAGGGAGGGAGAGAGGGAAAGTGAGAGAGAAATAAATGAAAATGAGGAAAGAAAAAAGGGAAACAGGGAAAACAGACAAGCAAAAGAGAACAGAAACATAATTAATACCACCATAGAGAGACGATAGGATACTGTACCCATGAAACAACAGGAGGAGTCTCTTTAAAAGAATAAAGAGAGAGGGAGAAAAAAGAATATAGAAAAAATACACTTTTGGTTATTTAGTCGTAACAGGAACGTGGATGTAAGAGCTAGAGCTGGAGCTGCCATTTTGCATGTACGACAGAAAGAAGCTGAGGATCAGATGGCAAGTTAAAAAGAGCCTGGGTCTTGAATGACTGTTGAGCTGCCTAGACCATCTCCATAAACGAGAGATTAAAAATAGAAGCAAAACCCAAAAAACCTCTGTCTTATTTCATGCACTACTTTGGGGTTTTCTGCCATATGCACTTCAACCACATACTAACTCAAACAGTACATGCTACACAATAAGTTCTCCCTCAAACCCTTACAATATGAAACAAAGAAAATTAAGTTCCAAGTTGACTATCTTGTTGTTCCTATTAACTATGCTTAAGTCTACCCTACGTTAGCCGAGAAAGCTGAATGCTAACACTTCCAATTTCAGGATTACATTCTAATCAAGTCTATCTCGTGTGATCAAATGCAATGCTGAAAGGCCCACGGAGCACAGTCCCAGGTGTCCACAGCACACTGCTCTCATTGTTTGCGGATGTTGCAGCATCACTCCACTAAGGCTTACCTTCAATTTCCCTTCAGTCTGACTTTCTTCTTTTAAATTCATATTGGATGACTGATGGCTAACATATGAATATTTTATCTGTCTACACCCTTCCCCCAGGAAGAATATGCCTTTCTGACAGGGAGGCATCATTAGACACCTGGAGTACAAACTAAGTTTAACTCTTTTGTCCACCGTGAACACTGCTGCTTTTAAATGTTTTCACATTGCCACAAAGTATCTATTAAAATATGCTGCTCGATCTTATCCAGATAAAAAGTCACTTTCATAACTAATCTAGAAATCCTAGAGACAGTAGAATGATCAAGAATATGGAATAAAACATTGGTAAGTATGAGTTTAACTGCTTCGTTTCAGACAACATCACCTATACTGTAGATTATAATTATTCTGATATTGTCTAATGTTTTCACAATAAGTAAAAATTTCACAAAAGGATACAGGAAAACTGTTCCACCAAAGAATGATCAATAGAATTCTATAAAGTCTGGCACAACTAGCCAAATCGGTAATAGACCCATCCCTGTCCCATCCATCTTTCTCTCAGGGTTCTGACTTTGCCACTGATGATTGACTAGGTGATACATGTGGTTAGGCTTTGAGGGTAATGACAGCAGGCATTTCATGTAAAATGAATGTAAGAAAAAGGATAGCTAAAGCATGCCAAACCTCAAAGGTAAAATAGGATAAAAAAGGAAAGAAATGATCTCTGTAGACCACTTTCTACCTATTTCTGCCTTTTAGAATCAGCTCTGCCAAATTCTTGTCATCTTTGTAACTGAATGCTTCAAAATGAGCTCGGGACTTTGACACACACCATGTCAAACCTCCAACCCGGATATGATCAAGCAAAAGTAAACAACTCTATTTGTATATTGTTATAGTGCTGAAAGAACGCACTCTCCTTGTTAATCAAAGCATGGAGCCCTTTAACTTGTTTCTGCTCATGACCAGAATAACCAGTTTACCAGACAACGCCTCCTTCCTTAAAAGTCACAGTACTTATTGTTTATGGATAAAGAAGAAAGAAATTAAGAGATGACAAAATATTAATCTTGAATTCTAGATACCTTCATATTTGCACTGAAATTTGCAACATAGTATTCTTGGCCTTTACTTTCTATACTTTTTAAAAATCCTGTGGGGACAGATGGGATCTATGGGAGAAAAAGCTGACATTTTTCTTCCTTGCATAAGGTAGTCAGTTGAGGGTGATAAATATTGTTTATATTGAAAGGCTTAATGATCACTTCCACCCCTCCACACCAAAAAAAAAAAAAAAATCAGTGGTGAAGGGTCAAACAGATTAAAATTTATACTGGGAGAGGTTTTTTTTTTAAGGAGCAAAAATACCTCTGACCTATCCCACAGCACATAAGATAATATAACCTATCAAAATCAATGCTCAGTGCTCAGTAAACCTGATGTTCCCATAAATGGCACGACCATTCCAGCAGACCCTGGCCAGTCCAGGCTGTAGGCAACCTCCACCAGAGTCCCTGAGATGAGTCCTTCTCGCTACCTAGTTCCTAAACTTACTCTAGGCAGTATTTCTCAATTTTGGGCTTTCCTCAAAGGGAAGCAGTGAAGTTGGGAATTCCCTCATATCACGCAGTGATTTGCCTCTTTCATCTACATGCACCTGAAGAGGATAGGAGTTACTGATAGACACACACTCAAGGTTCAAAAAACTTGCCATGGGGTGAGTGAAGTTAACGCAGGCCCCTTAGCCAAAGTTTGCCACCTCCACACTATGGTGCACTATCAAAGAGTTTGCGTTTTAATTATTAACTGCCTAATACGTCAGTATGTACAACTAGAAAAATGCAGATTCTATTCTTATATCCCTTCCTAAAAAAAAGGAATGAGAGGTGTATCTGTAGAACAGAAAAACCAGATTTAAAAAATGAATAATGTTGCTAAATCAATAGGAGCTAGCTGTTTTAGCAAAGCCTCTTATCTAATATTCTGAATTTAGCTAAAATGTACAACAAATATAAATCAGAATATGAAACTGGTTTTTTTTGTGTGTGGTAGAAAATGGAAAAACTTACCTTCTCAATATTTATCTGGTGCTTTCTTAGCCTCTCCAGGTCTGTTGGGATTACTATTTTAATAAATTTCTGGATAGCTGGTTCAAGACGGCGTAATTTCACTTTTTCTTCATCTTCAGACATCCTAAAAAAATGTTACACCACTTCTACTTGCAACAATTGTCTTCTCTACTCATATAGACAAACCTAAAAGGGAAATATTTAAGAATTTTTTAAATGAGCTCCTATTATTTTTAAAAGCCAACTATCAGATAATTTTATAATTTATTATAAATATGTATTCAACTTAATGCTGAGCTTGAGTGACTTGTTTTTAAAGAAACCCTTTATTTTAAACCTTTTTCTCTCTACAAAAGTAATATATGTTCACTTTAGCATGTTTAAAAATATGAAAAAGATAATAAAATAAACAATCATCTGCTCACCCACAGTTAACTAACTACTCTTTTATTTTTCTTTTTTTCCTCCCATCCCTACTCTTTCATTTTGATGTATGTCTTTCCAGGTCATTGTTTATATAAGGACGTATGCATGCAAGTATATAAATACCTTTTAAAGAAAACTAGGAGTATACTGCCCAAGTTTTCATTTCCCAATGTACCTTGGACATTGAATAACCTTTTTGAAAAAGGTGTCAAATGGCAAAATTGGAAGAAAAAAATTTCATTCTTAACATTTCTGTTTGTATCAAACTTCATTTCTAATGTTATCATTAAGTGTCTATGTAATTACATACTTTAAATATAACATAGTATTCAACTCTTCTTACTGATGTCCTTTAAATTAACTCTTCCCTTTCTCACAAAGTGATTAGCATTGTCTACAACCAATACGAATAACCAGCGACACAGCTGAAATAAGATCCCAGGATTCCTTAGAGTACAATCAAATGTTCTAATTCACCAGTAGTTTTCTATCAGTGTTCCAGGAAGTCCTGGGGCCAGGGTACGAGAGGGTAGGGGTTAGAAAGTGAGGCTCTAGGCACCCACACCTGCTCCAACAAGCCTCAAAAGATGGGTAAACAGGGCCGGCTGAGTGGCTCAGTTGGTTAAGAGCCCGCTCAAGAGTATGAGCTCTGAGCAACAGGAGTTTGAGTCCCGGCCCGAGCTGAGCTGCTGCTGAGCTGCCAACAAGTAGCAGGATGGCTCAGCTAAAAAAAAAAGGGGTACTTAAAAGGGTGGGTAAACAGTAGGTAGCTGAAGAGAGAATTACTGCTTGGAAGATATTAGTCAGAACACTGAGGACTGAAGAGATACACAATATAAAAAGATAAGGGACATAAAGGATAATATGAGAAGCTTAATAACAAATAGGAGCCCCGTAAAAGAAATAAAGAAAATGGTGAAGAGGCATTATTCAAAGAGAACATGCTGAGAATTAAGATATAGGATCTCGAATTGAAAATGCACATAAGCCCCAAATTGCATAAATTAAAAAAAAATTTTTTTACCTGAACACATAGAAGGAAAACTGTGGACCATCAAGGACAAAGAAAAAATCTTAAAAAGCAAACCAGGGATAAAAGACAGATACACTAAAACAAAAGCAGCAAACTTTTCATCAAAGCAAGATACCAAAAGACAGGAACAGCTTCAAAGTGCTGAAGGAGTTGGTATATACCCAAGGAAATTATTATTTGAAATGAAGACAAAATAATAATTTTCAGACATACAAAGACTGAGTTTATTACCAAGCCCCTCATTAAAAGAACTACTAAAACACATACTTTAACAACAAAGAAAATAAAGCCAAAGGAGTGGAATAGCAAGGAGCAACGATTATAATAAAGTATACTGTTACTGGGTGAATAAATGAATAAGTAAATGGATAAACAAAGAAAAGATTCATTTTGAATAACCTAAGAATAATAAAAATGTTTTCATTTAAATTATTTTTCTATAATGCATCTTTCTATAACACAAAGTATTACATTGCATAGATGTTACATAATTTAACTAATCATCTACTGTTAACTATTTAAGCTGTTTCTAATTTTCTACCATTATAAACTATGCCACAGTGTAATTACCCTCCTTACGCATATATACAATTATTTCTGGAAATAGAATTAGTACGTATACACAAGTAGGACTTTTGATGACAAATGTACTAAAAAAATGTTATCTCTATTTGCAATTCGCACCAGCAATACATCAAAATGTCCATTTATCCATTCTCCAACCAATACTTGGTATTATCGTTCTTATTAGACATTCTACTGGTGACAAAATGGTGTGTCATTGCTCATTATTGTTTTATTTTGCAATTCTTAAACTACTAATAGGTTTGATTTATTAGCCACTTACATTTCTTCTTTCCTGAACTGCCAGCTTGTGCAAAGTGTCTGTTTTACTATAAGGTACATCTTTTTCTTATTATGTTTAACATATAATAGATTCATAAATTGTAAATTATTTGTCTAACGTTAATGTTTCCCAGTTTATCACACTGCTTCTTGTGTTTTCTTCTACTCTGCAGAATAAATACTATAGAAATCTATCTTTATACCTATCACTGTTCCTATCAAAATGTTTTGAAACATCCCTGGTGTTCAACAGATGCTGATGAAATGAAAATGTTTCTTCATATGGCCTTTCTTCACCATTTCTAATGCTATCACTCTAGTGTCAAACAGCACAATATGTATAGCACACTACAAGTGTCCTAACTGGCCTGCCTTTAGACAATTTGCCATCTCCAAATTTTTCCCAAATTGCCACATTACTATGTATCTAAAACACCAACTGCAATATGTTCCTGCTCTGAACAAAAACTTTTGAGAGTTCCCTATTATTTTAACAAGAAAATACAAGGTTCATAAGTAGATCCACCTAATTTATCTATTATCACTCAATCTCTATTTTTGGTTTTACAATGATGTTCCCTTTTTCTAGATGCTCTTTTTTATCCCATCTGCCTCTAAGCTTTATGTATCATTTGAGACATAATTAATATGATTCTGCCTTCTCTTTCACTAATCAGTTTATAATAATACTTAACAAACTCCAATTTTTGGACATTTGGCTTGTTTTCAAGGCTGCCCTATGCTGATAGCTTTCTTTTTTGAGTTCCAAAAATGGTATTTCCAGGTCAGAGCAATGCATGACTCTGCCCCTCAGCTTTCCATGCCCAAGGAAAACCTGCTACCTCATAAGGGCCATCTCTCAGGGAAGACATTCTGCCCAAGAACCTTCCAACTTGTTTTCCAACTCTTGGCCTGCTTCCAGCTAGTATTTTTTTCATCTCTCCAGGATTTCCATTTTTATGAAATTATAATAAAATGCCTATATAAAACTAAGACCATAACATTCAAATAATTGCATAAATCATGATGTTATAGGTCTTAATTCAATATACAAATGGGATTTAAAAGTGCAATTGAATAATAAATGAAAGTGTATTTAAGCATTTTTTGATTTTTCAGTCAGAAAATTGGAACATATGATATAATTAAAACACAAAAAATAAAAAATACATTTACATCGACATTAAACTGTGTAAACTATTCCTATGAAAAAGACAAGGAAAAACACAAAAATGCCTAATTTCTCAAAATTCTGTAGAGTTGTGTTACTTTTACCATTTTTTAAAAAAGTGTAATGGAATATTTGGGGTGATACAATTGTTCTGTATCATGACAGTGGTGATGGCTACACAATTACATGTATTTGTCAAAACTCATAGAACTGTACACTACAAAGCAAATTTTTATAAATTCTAAAACAAAAACAACTACAGTATGTGGGGGAACCCAAATAGAATACAAACTATAAAAAAAATTAACTGTGTTACAAATGAATAGCATAACCATATTGAAAGAAGGGAGGGAAGAAACTAATCTAGGTAGCTTTACAAAACAGCATTTAAACTGGATATTACAAAGCTAAAGATAAAAAGAACTACACAAAACTATACTGTACTCTAGTTAGTAAATTTGTTTCTCATAGAAGTATGGGTTAGAAATATTGAAATTATGTATATACTAGGATCAAACAAATAAAATATTTTGTAGAACATGAAAACCAGATTTCTCTCTGTCAAAGAAAGAAGTTACAAATAAGGGACAAGAAAAGAATGAACCCTGTGGTGTTAGAGGTATCAGAATAAACTTTTGTTTTTTAAAAATATACACAGAATATATATATATATATTTATTTATAATATGTATTATATATGTATATATACACTCAGATATATAGACTATATATTCTATCTGTATATATGTACAGATGTATGTCTATATATACATATAAATATAAAAATAAATCTTTGTGTATGCATGAATGTGCGTGCGTGTGTGTGTGTGTGTGTGTGTGTATCCATAGAAATTGTGTGTGTGTATATATACATATGTAGCTGATATATATGCACATTCCAGGTACTAGAAGCAATGATACCCCAGTGGCAATGAGCATACCTAGCCCCTAGATCTTGGTGTTTAAATGCCACTCTTCAAAAAAAGAAACCAGGGTCCTTGAAGTGGTTGGTTCCAGGGCTGGGGCAGGGAAAACACAGGATAAGCCTGGAGCATCTTACGATACCAGAAAGTAAGAAAGTTCTCAAAAAAAGGATGGGGGGGTTGTCAAAAGGGCACAGGAAGCAGCTGAAGAAATTCTCAATGGCCAAAGCTGGAACAACTTGAGCTATAAAATAAATAACAAAAGTATAGGATAATAACCAATAGAAAAATAAGAGTCCATACTGATAAAAATAACTAAATAAATAAATAAGTGGGAAGAAGAGACAGCTCTTCCTTACAGAACATTAATAAATGAAGAAGGATTGAGGGAAACAAAGTCACCATCAGGCCACCACAGTAATAATTACTGAAGGCAAGATCCACCAAAAGATGCTAAAATTAGCAAGTGAAAATTTAAGAAGAAACAGGATATGTGCATAGTTTAAAAGTTCTCTCCCACGATATCGATTAATTACAAAGGGAAATAATAGTAGCTTTACATTAGAGAATCCTAGCAGACACCACCTTAACTAAGCCCTTGAGAGTAATAATAAAATGCAGTGTGTCATATCAGGCACCCCTCAAGTGATTAACTGAGAAGCGCACATACACACCTGTGGTGTCAACAAAAAATGCGTAACTGTAATCAAGCCATGAGAAAAAAAATCAGAAAAAAAACCAATTGAGGGGCACGACAAAATAACTGACCAGGACCCTTCAAAGGTGTGAAGGTCGTAAAGGGGAGCTGTCAAATTGGAGGAGAGACTAAGGAGCCATGCCAACTAAGCGCAATGTTGGATCTTAGATTGGACCCTGGAACAGAATAAGGTCATTACTATATATATATATATATATATATATATACCCAAAAAACCACAACTGATGCAGTCTGAAGAAAATTGGTAGTTTATTGTATTGTGCCGATGTTAATTTCCTACTTTTGGTAATTGTACCAGTTAGATGGGGTGTTAACATGAAAAGAAGCTGTAGAGGACTCTGTATTACTTTTGTAACTTTCCTGTAATGTCAAATTGTTTCAAAATAGTCTTTTTGTACTGTATGATGTTTCACATAAGACAGGGCAAACATTTACAACTCAAATCATATTCACCGCACTAATACGGGGGCGGGGGGCGGTGCCTAGTTGCTACAAACTTTACCATTTAGCGCTTACAACTATTTTCAGCTGAGCACCGTAATATTCATGTTTCCCATGAGGAAAAAGTACTGGGAAGTTCACTCAATTACTTAAGAGGTTATTGATAACTGAAAAACCCCATTTCTGAGAAAAAGTCCAAAATCGCTGAAACACCCCTATCCCCATTCAAGAGTAATGAACACCTTCCATCGGCCTAGAGACCCCACATTTCCCCACACTGGTGGCACCTCTGACTGGGGGGGCGGGGTATTGAATTTGGAAAGAAAAGGCCTTTTTGGTCCTACCATAAGGTCTCCTCTGAGCCTCCGATTTCGAAACTACAAAAGGAGGGAGTTAGATGTGGGGCCGTCTGTAAACCACCTCCCAGTCTGGCTGACCGGAGGCTTCGATCTCTTGCTCCCGGTCCCCTCCCCACCACCCCCGAGCCTCGCGTCACCCCCTCGCAGTGTCACCCCCTCGCAGTGTCACCCACAGCGCGCCTAGGCCACACATATCAAACGCCCCCCACCAGAGATCGGATGCGAGGGCCCGTCTCGGGGCCTAGACCCCGGGGACCCCGACGACCTAGGGCCCACAGGGCGTCACTGGCAAGGCAGACATCAGGAACTTTTCCACCCCGCGACCCCGGGAGGCCATCAAGCTCGTCCCGTCGGCCGCCTCCCTATACCCGCTTGGACTAGGGCTTCCAAAAACGAAACCGCCACTTCTTAGAGCTGGGAGGAGCCCCCACGGCGCTCGCACTTCCAAACTGATTCCCCATTTTCTCGCAGGGGACCTCTCCCGTGGGACCGGCCCACAGTGCGGGGTCAGAGTCTGATGCCCCTACAGCGACCCGACGCGAGCCCCTTACCTCCCGCCGGGGCGCTCGAGAGTGGTCGGTGCACACGGCGCAGGCGCGGGAGCAACTGGGCGGGGAGTCGCATTGGGCCGGCCGGGCTAGGCCCCGCCCCCGCCCGCCGCGTCCTGGCATTGAGAGGTGTGGCCCGCGAGCGGGTGAGTACAAACGCGGGCGAGTCTTTTTAAAAAGTGGTCTTGGTTTATGTAGTGGGGTTGTAACACTGGAGCCAGTAGGGAAGACGCACAAAGGCTTTTTAGTCAGTTTGTTGACTGTTAAGTATGAGACAATTCACAGTTGTATAGCCCTCAACATTCTGCAGAATTTTTCTGTCCATTTTCCTCTGTTTTCCCAGGAATTTTATTGACCAGGCTGGCCTGTGTTCTTAGCTCTTTACCCATGTAGAAGCTGAAGCTCAGAAAGGTTGTGCCTTTTCTTCTCGCCACACCCCCTCCCCCCCGCAAAACAAACAAACAAACCCAAAAAGACTTGAGGTGGAGAGGGTGCAAGTCTTAACTCTAACTGGCGCAGTAATTTAAGCTCACACAAGTTGTGATTCTCCCCCCAAATTGGTTGAGCCCTTAATGCCAGTGTCCTTATTCCAATTTTATAGCTAATGACACTGAGGTTCAACAAAGATTTTTTAAGTGACTCATTCCAGTGCAGCCAATTAGTGGCAGAGTTGGAACTCCAACTGGGTTTGCTGATTTCCATCCCAAGTTCTTCCAGTTATACCAGCTACCACCAATGAACAAGCAGATTGTTCACTGAAGCCCTGCCCAGGTCACAGGTCTTCCTCTTTGGATGGCCTAACTTCCAGACCCAGCCTTTTTATTACGTGTATGAATGTTCGGGTGACTTGCTTAGAATGTATCCATTGATGGTATTGTCCTCAGAAGGCATAAGGATGTTTAAGCCATAGCTAAGGAAATTCAGGTCTTAGGGTCTCCCAGTGGAGTTGGGAGTAAGGATAAAAATGGTGGACCAAGGAAGATTAGAGGCCTGTAAGAAAGCTTTGAAAGGCAATTTCTAAAATAAAGCACAAAATCTAAGAAATTTGGATTTTCTTTGTGGGTATAATAAATACCAATGTTTGTTTGTTTTACTCTAGGAATGACGTGCTTATAAGATTTCAATTCTAAGGAGAAAAATGAAAGTATCTGACAATACCACGTGAAATGTTTTTTATTCAACAGTCAGTTAAACAATATCTTTTGAAGTAAAGGTCATTCAAGTTAAGTTCTGAAGAAATTATCTCAGTTACTGTAGAGAAGCATAGCCCTCAAGGATTGTAAATTTGAACCTAGCCTTCTAAGTTATTATACGTATGTTTGCTATAAGTTAGGTGTGTCAAGATAGCAAGATAGAACTTTTAATCTAACAGTTTGTTAGCTTGGTTTGTAACTTTAAATATTTAAACATTTGGCATGTGCACCTCTTTTTGTACTCTTGCCCTGAAGTTGTTAGAAATAGGCCTGCTGCTACTAGCCAACATTTTCCAGAGGTCCTAACTGAACCAGGAAAGCCAAACAGGTGTGTGTGTGTGTGTGTGTATATGTGTATACACACATATATAAAAAATTTTTTTCAGGTATTATGATTGCTTATTGAAACAATTTCAAAAAGTGTCCACAGAAATAGCTTTCCTAAACAATTGCCAATTTAAAAATGTCCCGGGAAAAAAGATCCCTTTCAAAAATAGCACAATCAGGGCCAGCCGAGTGGCGCGATGGTTAAGAACTGGCTTGGGATGCCAGAGGACCCTGGTTCAGATCCCACATATGAGGGCCAGTGACACTGCCCTCTACAGCTAAGATGCTGAACAACAGCTCAACCTGGAGCTGGGCTGCCATGAGTCGCCGGCGACGGCGTAGTCTGCAGCCCCTGTGGCAGTGGGTTGCCATGGGCTACCATGTGTAGCCAGCAGCCAGCGAGAGTGGCCAGCAACCGCAGTGAGCGGCCGTCCAGAAGCCGGCGACTGATCTGCCTCGCCCGGGAAGAGCGCAATGATGGTGCCAACTTGGGCCAATGAAGCAACATCCTCTACAACTAGACTGAAAGAACAAAAGGACAGCAACTTGTCTGTTCCCCTTTCCCCAATTCCCCAACGCTGTTCCCATCCCCCAATTCCCCAATTAAAAAAAAATCTTAAAAAAAAATAGCACAATCCAGTTTGTGTTTATAGGGAATTACAGGACCTATTTGAAGAATTCAGAATAATAGCTAAATGGGGTGGGGGCAGAGGGAGGATCACCAAGGGGCATGAGGAAGCTTTGGGGATGATGGATGTGTTCATTATCTTGATTGTGGTACTAGTTACCTGGGTGTATACATGTCAAAACTTACCAAATTGTACACTTTAAATATGTGTATATGTGTTTACTGTATGTCATTACACCTGAATAAAGCTGTTTCTTGAGGAAAGGTATATATTACGATATACTTAGAAGAACCCAGCACAGTTAGTTGTTGGAACAGAGAAAAATATGTATTATCTCTATGAATTAAGAAATACTTTTTCCAGTATCCTAGAGCAAGTATTCAGATTTGGCCCAATAATATAGACCTCCTGGGTTACCTTCCCAGCCCATTCCTTCTCTGGGAACTGTTTCTCTGCACCAGGTCTGCATGCTATCAGTTAATGAGCCTCTGGCAGCCATTTTGTACAGGCATGAATCCATACTCCAGACCATAGTGAATTGTTCCAGGAGCAGACACCTGACTCAATCCGGAACAATAAAACACCTTTCCAGAAATTTGGAGTTGGGGCTAGGAGTCTAGCTTGAGTCTGATAGGTTTCTTGAGTGGAAAAGATGCTCACAGCAGAGCTCTTGGTGGCCGTGTTTTTTCACTCCATAGACTGGTGAATCAGAGAAATGCTGCTCATACGTCCTGTTTACAAGTGTGGAGAAATGAGCATATATATATATATATGTCCTAGTCATGGTATTTAAAAAAAGTTGTTTCTTTAGGTCATGTTCAAAACCATTAAAAGCCACAGCCTTCACTAGGTTCTTTCTCTAGCCATGAATTATTGAAATATCTACTGTAGTCCTGAATGTGTTCTCTTTCTTTGTGCATTCTATCATTCCAACCATCCTGTGAACTGACATGAAGAAAGATTAAAAATAAAGTGATAATAGTGGTTACCCTAGGAATGGGATTAACTGGGAAAGGGCATGAAGTGACTTTCTGGGGTGGTGGAAATGTTCTACATATTGATCTGGTGTGATTTCATGTGTGAAAATTCATCAAGCTGTACAGCTAGGATTTGTGTACTTCATGTAAGTTATACCACATTGAGAAAGGAAAATAAAGAACTAGCAATTGTTGATTTAAAACAAACACAACACCTTAGTATACAAGGAATAGATACTTCCTTAATATTATTTCTCTCAGTTACCTCTGTCTGAAATAGTGGCGAAATAGCAGCAGTATCCCTACCCTTGTTAAAGCCCTTCACCCCTTTGAAAATATTATCAAAAGCCATGCAAGAGACAGAAAGAAAGGGGAGAGAGGTGAGAATGATTAGATGCAAAAAATGGAAGCAGAGTTTGCAGCACATTCAAATTCCTGGTCCCAGTTTATTCTCGAGGCTTAACTGCATCCCAACACTTAGGTCTGGTTATACCCCAAAACTTTCTAAACCCCACCATCCCCAACCCTGCTTTTTGTTAATTGCTTAAACTAGATCAGGCGAACTTCTACTTTTAATCAAGAGAGCTCTTGATTAAAGATGTTGTACACAAAATCCCACTTATTTCCACTGTCTAATATCATTTTAAACTTATATATGGTGTTCACTGACTTTAGTACTTAATCCTCTCCACTTTCTGCTTTGCTGTCCCCCGCTACCACCACCACCACCACCACCACCACCACCACCACCACCACACATATCCACCGTCATCATCACCATCACCATCGCCAAACAACCTGTTCATATAAAGTTATAGAGAGCTTATATCAAACCCAAAGGAGTAAGCTCTGCAGACAATCCGTAACACTAGAATTCTCCACTCATCAAGCATTCGCCACTTAGGAACTTGATAATCATTTTACACGTAGAATAGCTTAAATGCCCAGACATATGTCTACAGACTCCTACCCCCACCTTTTGTTTTTTAATTACCTTAATTATTTTCAAAACTCAGTGTGCCCAAGAATTATTGCATAAGGTAGTATTTCTAAAAACCAATGCTTAATGAACCTTGTGAGCAATTTAAATAATTTTCAGCAGTAATTTTGACGCTTATAAAATTTTTTTTCCTTGAATTCCTCATACCAACAGCCCACACCATCCATCTCACCCTCAAAAGATGCAGCTTTACTTTACACTATGCTTGCAATTAAAACACAGTAAACATACCTAGCATTAGAGTCATATTAAATGCTATTTAAATTTTGGCAATTTACAAGACACCTTGAATTTTGTAGTAGATTAGTTATTATCATGAATGTCAGTAATATCACATGATAGATATACAGACATGCAAATTGATAGATATTCCACATGGGTCCAGCTTTGCTTTCGAATTTTATTTCTGATTACAGTTGGCCCTTCGTGTCTGTGAGTACATGACTGCTTCTCAACCCCTATGCTTGAATGTGTTACAGGTGTGTGTAGACATTAACATCCCCAGCTCCCAGTGTAGCTAGACCGGTGGCAGAGGCTGAGAGCAGATTTCTCTCTTAGTTTTGCCTTATAAATGTCATTTTCTATTTGTGCCATTACAGGGGAAAGGTTGACACGCACTGGAGGTGGCAACAAGACACATAACAAATTACTGTAATAAAATGTAGACAGTGACACATTAAAAAAATCAGATTATAAGATAGGTGTTTGGAGGAAGGAGGTATTAAATCTAGAAATTCTGGAAATAGAGGTGGTCACATTAGGGGTGGACATGGAAAGATGAGTTGGATTTGGATGTGCAGAGAGGGAGGGGCAATTGGTAGAGAATATTCCAGGTGAAAGGCACAGGGTAGGATTGGAGAAAAGATTGGGATGAAGAATACTGAGGAGTTCAGTTTGGTGAGAGCAGAGGAGATGT